ACCTTGGTTAAGTAACTGCAGGAGTCTTCTGGGTGGCGGAACTTTGAGGAGAACCTGGAAGCAGGGTGGGTTTTCTTTGCTGCAGCATGTAGTAACAAAACTAACCTCAAACCTGGTGTTTCCTAACTGTTATTATGGTAATTTTTGTTTTCGGTGCACTCTGTAGGGCTGTTGAGCTCCTTGGTCATCCTTTTTAAAGGGTTAAACAGGGTCCAGACCCAGTTAGGCAGCCTAATATAGTTACAATTTTTGTATCACTGATCTGGATGCAGAGTTGAATGCACCGTTAGCAAGATGGCTGATGGTACCAAACTGGGAGGTGTTCTTGACTCTCTTGAGGGCCAAGAAGCCTTGTAGGGGGATCTAGACAGATTGGAGCATTAGGCAATCATCAATGGCATGAAATTTAACAAGAACAAATGCCAGATTCTGCACCTGGGACACAGTAACGCCAGGCACAAGTCTCTCAAATTGGGAGACAAATGTCTGGAGAGCAGCCCTGCAGAAAGGGGTCTGGGGTGCTGGGTGACAGCAGGCTCAGTGTGAGTCCGCAGCGTGTCCTGGCAGCCAGGAGGGCAAACCCCATCCTGGGGTGCATCAAACACAGCGTAACCAGCTGATCAAGAGAGGGGATTATCCCGCTGTGTTCGGTGTTGGTGTGGCCTCACCTTGAGCACTGTGTGCAGTTAGGGGAACCCCACAACTTAAGAAGGAAGTTAAGATCCTTGAGTGTATCCTGAGGAGGATGGCAACAAAGCCGGTGGAGGGGCTGGAAGGCATGTCCTGTGAGGAGCGGCTGAGGACTCTGGGTTTGTCCAGTTTGGAGAGAAGGAGGCTGAGGAACGACCTCATTGCTCTCTATACCTTCCTGAGGAGGGGAGGTGGAGAGGGAGGTGCTGGGCTCTTCTCCCTGGGATCCAGTGGTAGGACACATGGGAATGGTTCAAAGCTGTGCCAGGGGAGGTTTAGACTGGGCATTGGGAAATGTTTCTTTACCGAGAGGGTGCCCAAAGACTCTAGGAACAGGCTTCCTAGAGAGGTGGTTGATGACCCAAGCCTGTCAGCACTTTGAAAAGAGGCATTTGGACGATGCCCTTAATAGCATGCTTTAACTTTTGGTCAGCCTTGACATGGTCGGGCAGTTGGACTAGTGATCGTTATAGGTCCCTTCCAACTAGTCCTATTCCTATTCTATTCCTGTGTCTATTTCTGTGTCTATTTCTGTGTCTATTCTGATGTGCATGGCTACTTCCTAAACTAACAAGAAGTTGGAGGTTATTAGCCACTGAGTGGCTAATTAGTTCCTGAGATGATGTCTGCCAAGATTTGGTGCCATTGCAGCAAAACCCTGGACTGGGTTTCTAGATAACAATGACGTTTCAAGCTAGCCTCTCTTCTTGGGTACAAAGCTTTCATCCAGTTACAGTGTAAAAGTCACCGCTGTGATACAAGTGCTGACAGGTCCCAGCTTGTCTCTGTTGTAGATGGGGTTTCTTACTTCTGTTTGTAAGAGTACTGATGAAACAGGAGAGTAACTTCTCAGGTCATTTTCTAAAGTAAACTGTGTGTTAACAGCAGGACCCACAGAAATAAAACCCCCAAAAATAGAGGAGGGAGGATGGATGGATGGATAGATAGATAAAAAATCTACTTCTGTTTTTTGTTGGCTTTTTTTTTATCAATTTGCTTTCCATCCATAACAAAAGGATTTCAGTTGTATGTTTCTGATTAAATGAACAGAAAAGGAGAAGTCGCCAAGCAACGTTGCTTGTAGATGTCTGCATACTTTCCTGATACTCCATGATGAGTAAACTGCACTTACTTCTTATGCTGATCGAAACTTTAAATATTGGAAATGCGTGTTTATTTTTAGTATCTCTACAAGTGTTTTTAATTTAAATTGCTTCTATGTTGTCACACTTAGAATAGCTGAACTTTGAACTGAGAGCAAATTTCTATGTAATACGAACGAGAGATGTCATGACTTTAGCTGTTGTCAGAAGAGTAAATATCTTTTTTGGGTTTTCTTCTAGGGAATTCACTCTCTTAACTTTAAAGAAAATGTCTACATCTAACATTGCAGCAAGAGTGGAAACTTGGCTTTCATCCAAGTGGCATGTTAAAGTTCCTTTGACATGGCTGGAAGCATGTATTAGTTGGATCCATGAAGAAAATACTGGTAGTAACTTAAGTCAAGCTCAGATTAACTGCCAGGTATTTGAGCAATGGCTTCTTACCGATCTAAGAGATTTGGAATATCCCATTTTGCCTGACTGCATCTTAGATGCTCCCAAAGGAGAGTTGTCAGGCTTCTACTCCATACAGATTGATTCACTGGTTGATGTCAGCCAGCCAGCATATTCCCAGCTGCAGAAGCTAAGAGGGAAAAGTACTGTAAATGAAGAAATAACAGCCAGCACTCAGGCATTCCAGAAGGCCTGGGAAGCAAAGCCTACTCGAATGCTGATGCTGCAACTAACTGATGGGATACATCAAATTCAGGGCATGGAGTATCAGCCAGTGCCTGTCCTCCACAGTAATCTTCTTCCTGGAACAAAGATCACTCTACAGGGTAATATTGCATGTCGTCTTGGAGTTCTTTTGCTTAAACCAGAAAATGTGAAACTGTTGGGGGGTGAAGTGGATGCTCTTCTGGAGGAGTATTCTCAGGAAAGAGTCCTTGCTAGGTTAATTGGAGAAACTGAAAACCCTAATTCTATTAGACAAGCTGGTCACAGCCAAATTGTTTCAAGGCCTGCGGATGAATTAGAACAAAATCTAGGCCCTTCAGATGAAGAGCTTTTAGCCAGTCTTGATGAGAATAATGAATTTACTTTGAATGACAGAACATCTTTAGAAAGTGGATACTGCAGTAGAAGCAACAATTTTAGTACAGCCTCAGGTTCACTGGCAGCACACAATGGAAACATTTCGCTACAAGAATCTGGAAGTCCTTTGCCTCATTCAAATGAACAAGTTTTGCCTCCCATAGAATATGTTGATGGCTTTTTAAATGACTTTCCTTTAGAAGATGACCCTTTTCTAGAAGAAGAGATGCAAAGAGAGCTGGAAGTGCCACCAGTGGTTGTGAACAGAAACATAGGTTTAATTAGTGAGAGACTTCCTCATACATCTAGAAGCTCCTGCAATTCATCTTTAAATGACACTTGTAAAAAAGGTGTTGTCAATGAAAGAGACAAGCCTGTAGAAGCTACCAGCAAGCAAAAGACTTTTGAAAAAACAGTATGTGATGGAGATAGAAATAGTATGAGTAGCTTTTCAGAGCACAAGAGCATACATCACACCTGCAGTTCTGCAGATTTTTTTTTGGAAAATCCTCCTGAAGAAAGGCAGAATGATACAGACCAAGATAATAGTGGATGTAAATCCCAGCACACTTCTGACAGCAGACTGTTAAATGATGATCCTGTATTTTTCTCAAAAATGGATCCAGAAGCAGATCAGCAGAAGCAGGCCTTTCCTTGCAGAGTGGCAGAGGCACATTTAGATGTAGATTCTCCACCTTTCACATATATTTCCCTTCTCCTTGCAAAAAAACCGGAAACTGTTACAATTCTGAAAGTTAAGTGTTTTATTGTTACTCTTACTGGTACCCTCACAAACAGGAATGGGTACTGGGGTGTAAAAGCAAAAATTTCTGATGGTTCAGCTTACCTTGAAGTAGATCTTGCTGATGATATTCTAACAAGTTTGATTGGCTTTTCAGTGCCTGAAATGAATAGGCTGAAAAAGGATCCAGCTTTGCATCTGAAGCTTAAGGATGGTTTAGAGAAATGTCAAAAACGACTGATAGATCTCTGTTGTTTGATGACTATAGAGTTTAATCCTCTACAGTCTAAAGCCACTGTATTAGTTCTCCAGGATGCTGATGCAAGGCATCTAGAACAATTGAAGAAACGTTTGAATAAATAATGTATGCAAACTTGCAGACTGTATATTAGGAAACATTCAGTCAGATTTCCCCTGAAGGACTTTTGAAAGTTAAATTTTAAAGTTAAGTGGCATGTCTTTTATCAGGAAAAATAATGGAAAAGTGACAGGAGGAGATGACAGTTTGTTTTTTATTGTGGTAGTATTGAAATAAGCTTTCAAATATTTCCGTCTTTATTTAAAATACTCATGTATCATTTTAATTCTGCAAAATCCTCTGCGTCCTTGACTGGTGATCTGGAGTAGCAGAATCTGTCAGTAAATGGATAACCACAAACAAACCATCTTGTTGTTATACTTTTTCAAGCATGATTACTTACCTGATTTTTAAAAGGTAGCTATAGGAGACTATCAGTCTTTTCTTGGAGGAAATTGTTTGAGTAACTTTAAATGAATTATTGTTTAAATGCAGTCACTTCTGACTATGCCAACCTGAAAATGCAAATACATATTCAGTGTGTAAGATCGTGAAGTATAGAGAAATGAAAGATTTTCGCCTAAATGTTCAGGTGGCGCGGGTGGGAACCAACCGTATACATAAATGAGATAAAAAGCGTTTCATTTAAACTTTGATGGAAGCTACTTAGCCATTTTAAAGAAAAATATACACCTTGTTGAATGTATAGAGTATCAGAAAGGGTTTAATTGGCCTTTTTGTTCTTTTTTCTTTTTCCCCATCCTTTTCACTTCTCTTGTTTTTGTTCTTGTTTGTTTTTAATTTGAAATTAGAATTAAAAGTCTGCCAGGACTAGAGGGCCAACAGCAGGACAAGTCTGCTCAGTGTTGATATTGTTTGCAAATAATGTAAAATTGGTAGCCAGGAGAGGGATTTGTCAACTGGACTGTGAAATACATGTTTTCAGAGCCTTTTCTTTCTCTGAGCAATGTTGGTTAGACCGTTGGGAACTGCTATGAGAGACTGTCAGTATTGCCCCCCTGCCCTGTCCCCAACTGAGAAGCATCCTTTGCGACTCCAAGTGACCTAGGGAAAATTAGAGGTAATTTGCTAAGTAAGGTAAAAATGGAGGAAGGTGGAGGAGGAGGAATCTTGAGCCTTTCAGGCTCAAGGCATGAGGGTTTTTTTTAGGCTTTATTTTATACAATTTAGAAATGCATAAATTCTTGTGTCCCTTTCCTTCCTCTCCCTCCTCTTTC